ATCACAATATTTCAATTTCCGACGCCGGATTTAGTCAGTATTAGTGTACTGTTACCTTCTTTTTAGGGATTTATAGAACAATTACATATGTATATTACTGTATTTATAGTAATTAGCGTTTCATAGCAGGTAGAAAGCGCTATCTAGAGCAAAACAGCTGCACACACACACACACACATATATATGTATATATATATATGTTCCAATTAGCATAGAGTTCTCCCGTGCGATCTTCTTTGATTCATTCACTGCACTGTATGCCGAGCTTCCCCTGTCACCATTCCGATTCACATTTTGCTTTGGTTGTAAAGGTGATGGTCGTGGTGGTGATGGTTAAGGGGAGGCGCATGTCATATTCTCGGAAAGCTTAGTGCAAACGCTTTTGCAAATAGACTGAGTCTGAACCGCATTCATACGTTAATCTCCCGTCCCCATTCCTGACCGACGTGTCATCGACTGATTAAAGCGAACACTTTTCATGCCTCCTCTAATGCTTCTACTTCTGTCAGCTTTTTTCTTCTACGTTCGCAATCGAATCTTCTCGAAGTCCTCATTCAGCTGCAATCTCATGACCTTGCGAAGAGTAGACCAATCCACATTGTCTGTACCACAGTGTTACTTCATGGTAAGTGTTTCTCTTGCAACCTTTCTGTCGCCTCTGAACTCGTCTCTTTCGTTGTTTGATACTGCTCCTAGCTGGTCACCGTAATGCTGCTTTCTTTTACATGAACGACAGCAGCATTTCGCGCCATTTGCCAACCTCCTGCAGCTCTGACTTACACCTTGAGGGAATGGGACAACAATGGTGTTGTTGACTTTCCGTTAGTCGCCTTAGTTAGCCGTTGTTTCTTATCTTTCCGGATACACATCGATTGCTTTTTTTGATATCAATGTGGTCAGAGTCCCATTTAACGTATCAGCTGGTTAAAAGGCACAAATTCTCCATTTTATGAAAAATGCGTGCTTTGGAACAAACGGAACGAATGTATTGATAAGCGTTGGCTTACTAAATTCCTCAGTAACGTATTTTCTCCGGCGTTTCAGTAAAAGGAAAATTGCAAAAAGGAAAAATAGGAAGTTTGTCTGCTTCACTTCCATCGAGAATATAATTTTTTACAGAGAAAGAGCTTTTCCGGATTTGCTTAACATGTTATCAACATACCTGCAGAAAACACAAAGTTCGATCATTTCTTTTTTTAAGAATGCCGACGTTCCCTGAATTTCTATACAGAATTTCGCTAGAATACAGAACAGCCAAGAGCTCATAGATGAACCGGTGGCTTGTTCATATACTTTGGTATCGAAAGTAAAACAGTCAGGCTATTAAACAAATCATCAGAGAGAGAAAACAGACTTAACGGGTACAGCTGTCATTTATGCCAGCAATGTATCGCTCTTAATCTTAATTTCTACCCTGGTAATGACATGTTTCAAACGTAAGTTCAGCATCATTGTTATTCCCTTGGTTTCTACCTGACAAAGATACATCAACAATTTAGGGTGCTTTTGATATGGGAGTTCATCTTCCTTGAAGGACTTGCAGAACATTGTATATAAACATAAGATATGATTTATGGTATCAGTAATTATCGTCATTTTGTTTAGCAAATATGGCGGCAAGCGTCAGAGAAGCGCATGATTATCAGTCGTTTTTAACCAATAACTTCTTTGAAAAGAGTACAGTCTGTGGAAGGTCGATTGGCGCCCCTTCGAACATCAAGAATGTAAGTCCGCAGTTTGAGGAATATGATTATGTCGCATTTAGGATGTTGAGCGTACACCAGATCGTAATCTATTTGACACTAATTTAATTG